ATGATAGCACAAGAGAGAGAAAGCTATATATTCTTGAGAGAGAGTAGCCAATCCCTCAAATGAGAGAGGAGCTCTCAATTTATAGTGGGATGGATTAAGGTTATTATTACTGAATCTGTGAGTTGGTGGGATTATCCGTGCAAATCCTTTTTTATGTCACATTGCCCACCTTCTAGAGTGATTTAAGCGATTTGGCGCAGGGATTGGACACGTGGGATCACCACTTCTGGCTGATCTTGCACGCACCCACTATTCTGACAGAAGCATGCTGTTCCTTTCTTCACGTGACTCGACTGCGGGTGTACCCAAGCTCTGACTTTTGCACGCTGACTGGACCTTACGTCAGCCCTGCATTCTTTAGGCATAACACATTCAATGCCACTTTTCAAGACTCAAAATGTTTTACACGGTCGTACATGTTCCTTGGCACTGAGGGCCCAATTTTGGATCATCTTCTGGATCGTATAACTATCAAAAGTTAGTGACTGAGTGAGGCTAATGTTCTTACAAAATGAATCTTCTCTGAAAGAAAGTTGTATTCTTCGGAAAATAAAGGATAAGGAAAAATTCCTTCAATGAATTTCCTTTGAAAAGAAAACTGATACTCCATGCAGCACTAAATAAACTAAACTCAGTTCTATTACAGTTTTTTACTATTTATTATTATTATAAAGAAAAGTGTAACCTTACCATGATTACAAGAAGCTAAGAGGTTGAATATGATTTAAGTATTTGGAAATCTGCAGAGAAGATTACGAGTTTAATAAGTTATGGGTTTTATACCAGGTGACTGGGAATGATTGGTGGGAATTGGAAACAATTGAATTTACAAAACGTGTCCATAAAAATAAGGACCAAGGGCCTAGACCTGGGCCCAAAAGACCGGTCCTCCCGATCCAGAGATCGGATCAGACCCTCATAAAAGTGACGGGTCCAAACAGGTCCCTCCTCCAAGCTGGGTCGAGTTGATTTCAAAACCCCTGACAAAATTACTAAAACCCTCCCAAAAAATTACAAATTACAATCACCCCCTAATAAATTACATTTATTTACTAATTAATTTTATTTATTTACTTATGAATTTAAAATTTACAAATCACCCCTTGATAAATTACAAAAACCCCTTTATATAAATATCTATTTAGCCCAAATATATAAAAAATTAAGAGACTAAATTGAAATTTTCAAGCCCATAAGACAGGTCCTATACAAGCTAGTCTCGGGCTTGGGATCAGTCTGGGCCCTCAAAAAAGTGATAGGCTCTAGATCAGTCCCAAATTGGGATCGGTACTTGAGAACCCGAGCTTGGGACTACCAAGCCCAGGCCTTGCCCACCTTTAGACCAAGCTACCAAAAGATTTGATATTCTGTTATAATATAAGGGTTTAAACATAGGTAAGTTAAGTAATTTTAACCACCACCTGACAGGCACCTGTAGATGCAAAAAATCTATCATCATGAAACTAGGGTCTGATCTCGTAAGGTTGAGGCAACTGACAATCCGCTAGACCTGCATATATGAAAGGACAAGCGTAAAGCTTCCGGAAAACAAGGGGTGGTGTTTGCTATAGGCACTCCAACGCTCAAGTCAGCAAGGCTGAAAGAGATTATTTGATAAGAATTAAGGAGATGAAGAATTACCATGAGTCTTGTCAGAAGCTAAGACTACGACGGAGGCGTTGGGTTCTTGGGCGTGAGAACTTTAGGAGTGAATGGATGGTTTTGAGTAGTGTAGATTGACTATGGGAGCCTCCCCTAATGAGAGGACAGACCTCTGTTTTTATAGTGAACCCAAGGGGTTGGAATCCTAGCAGGACACTAAGTCCTATTTTGGGAGATAATCCCTATCATGAAAGAGATATTATTTCTTTACCTTATCATTTTAAGTTTAATATTTTAAATAATATTTGGAATCCTAGCAGGACACTAAGTCCTATTTTGGGAGATAATCCCTATCATGAAAGAGATATGTTTATTGACTTTATCAAATTAAGTTTGATAGTTTGAGTAAGATTTGGAATCTTAGTAGGATATTAAGTCTTATTTTGGGAGATAATCCCTATCAGGAAATAAATATGATTTTTTGACTTTATCAGATTAAGTTTAATAGTTTGAGAAAGATTTGGAATCTTAGTAGAAGAGGAAATAGAATGGGATTCTAATTTCCTATTTATAGACTGCTGTAGGCTAATGGGCTGAAACCCAGTTTAGCTTAACTTATAAGATAGCCCAACTCATAGAGTGGGTAGTTCACAAGGTGATTTTATGCGTAGGCCCAATCGGGATTTGGTTGAGGCCTTGGGCCGTGACATGTTTATTTTGTTATTAGGCCTCGTCAAGCCCAAGACGATTTTTAGCCTTAACAGGACCTAGCCACATGGAGACTTGTGGGTTCAATTTTTAAAAAAATTTAAAAAGTATTAATGTTTTGTGGATATTACAATTTTAACCTCACTTAACTTCATGTTGACCCCACAAAATGAAAAGTAATACTACACATACAACATTTTTATACAACATTATGCGACAAAATATGATTAGTTGATTTTAAATTAAAATTAAACTTTCACTCAATCATCTTTTGTTACATAATGTTGTATGTGTAGTATTATTCCAAATGAATTATTAATTAACACTTTTTTAATTTTTCTCTCTTCTTCATTTTCTCTCATTTTTTCTCAAATTATATTTTTCCTTTGGTTTGATACTTAAGAAAGACTACTCCTTTGGATTACAAGGAAAAATTATGCTCATTTTATTTTTATTTTACTTAAAATTATTTTCTTTTAGCTTTCTTAATTGATGAAAGATCATGAGCTATAAATTTTTGTTGAGTTTAATAAATAAATTTGAAATTGGAAGATTAAATTACTATATTTTGATGTGGGTTTTGATTTAATTTTGTTTATGTTGAGGTATGAGTTAATTAGTTGTTGTTTTAAGTTGGGTTTGATAAATTTTAGTTAGTTATTGAGTTAATTTTGAATGGTAGAATTGATGAAACCCTAAGTTGTAGAGATTTAGAGATTATGCAACGTTTTCAAAATATGAAAAATCGCCGAGGACAATTGTAGAATTGATAATTTGATATATATAACTTTTAAAAGTATATTTTTTATATTTATTACTTCAGTATATATTTTATTTTAAATTTATCAACTTTGATGTTTTAACCAATTGACTTAGAATCCTAGCTATGTCCTTGCCACTTAATGGTAAAAGAGCAAAAGAATGTTTCATAAGCTCATGGGTTCGAATTCTCTCATACACTAATAGGGGTGGTCATTGGGGCTCTTATCCGATCGGTTGTTCTAAGGTCCCAAGGGATTAATTAAAATGTGCGCAAGCTAGCCTGATCACCCTTGATGAGAAAAAAAAGTTTTTAGTTTTAATATTCTAAAATGCTAAGGTTTTATTTAAAGAGAAAAATCTATTATAAAATCAAGTGATGATTTTATGTTCAATAATATAGGGTTTTTGCCAAATACACCCCCCATTACTCGTCTATTATATTTATTAAATTGATGATTTTGTATAGAGAGATTACTCATCTAAATATAAACCAAATCGTATGAGAGTTAGAAAATCTATCTTTCATCATAAATTAGTATTGATGGTTAATACACAAGTTCATAAGTAAAGACACAATTGTGTCTTTTTTGATAATCGAGATGTTTGGATCAGCTTGCACACATCTCAATTAATCCCTAATATCTATTGAATACCTTACAAACCCAAATGACCAATTAAGATATAAACCACAATGTTATTGTGGTAGATAGTCCTAAGGTTTTAACCTAAAAACTCAAATAATGAAGCAAAATATAGTTATGTAATTCATTTACTGTATTTTTATTAAATTAATTTTTATATACACATTTTGTACCTATAAATATTGTTTATAAATAGTTAAAGTAACCGTGAGCTGACCGAAGGCTTTGACAAAAAAAACAAAAAAAAAAAGAAGATAAGTACATAAACCTCACTAGAACAAGTGAAAGTAACCCATTAAAAAAAAAAATAAATAAATAAATGAAATCCTCCCAATATTAAGGCTTCATTTGGCTCATATTTGGGAATACTACTATTAGTATTTTCAATAAAGTTAAACAGTAAAATTATAAAAACTCACAATATTATTTAACTTCTTTTAAACCCCCTAAATTTATTAATTTAATTAAATACCCCTAAATATTTTTTTAGAAATTGTAAAAAAACCCCAGCAATCCATATTTACCAGATTCCGGCCACCATCGCCTAAAAATGGCCGAAATCTAGTATAATAGTGCACAGCTGACTAAATCTGGCTAGTAATGCACCAATCTAGCCTTTTCCGGCCAAATCCACGATGGATCTGGCCGGAAAAAGCCAGATCTAAGACCAAAGATCTGGCTGTGATGGCCAGATCTTTGGTTGTAGTCAGTCGTCAACGACAGCCAACACCGTATCTTTGGCCATCGTTGACGAGCAGATATGGCCAGATCTGGCCATCAATGGCCAGATCTAGCCGTAGATCTAGCATTTGCCGGCCAGATCTATCGTGAATCTGGCCGAAAAATGTCATATCGACGTAAGATCGACAAGATCCAACTGATCATGTATCGATACGATGACTTCAACCACCCTTCGGTGGTGGTAGCCGACTATCCATATTTAATGGATTGATTGAGAGTATTTTTGTTAACTTTTAATGTTATGAACAAACATAAAAGAGTGTTTAGTAAATAAATAAATAGATGGTATTTTTATTTATTTTTAAATTCTACATCATAATATCTATCTAATTCAATTTTTTTTATCCTTTTTAAAACTTTTTTGAAAAGTATAAAAAAGTAAACCGAGGCTAAATATTTACTACCAAACGCAAACTTATCAGTAGTCAGTTCCCCTACCGACAATTCGTACGAAAAAAACTGAGAATTCCAGAGTATCGGTGTGCTCCACATTTATGTGATTTTCTCCTCCCCTTCCACGTCACTCCAAACCCCCACCCGACACCTATGAACTTCCACGTCCCGACCCGACGCCATTCCCCTTCCATTAACCGCTACCTCTCTCCCCACCCCTACCCACCGCCCTCCCAATCCTCCTCCGACGCCGAACTCGACGAACGCGACATCTTCACCACCGACATTTTGCCATCGAACCACCACCACAACAACAACACCGGTAACAATAACAACCCTAAAACAACAAACTTTTCCGAAAGTTTTGGAATTCAAGCTGCGCTACTGGAATCTCCGACTAATTCTCATTCTTGTTGCCACAAAGCGTCGATTCCGAGTCCACGCACGATCCCTAGTGTTCCGAAACCGCAGCACGAGCGATTAGGGTTCTGGAGATTTCAACATCAGAGTGCGCCGGTGAACGTGCCAATTCTGGCGACGGTTATGAAGAAAAATAATTTTGATGAGACCGATGAGGATGAAGATGCGAATGGTGAGTTGGTGGCGCCGCACGAGATTGTGGCGCGGACGCATTCGATGGTGCTGGGGAGCTCGGTGGTGGAAGGGGTTGGACGGATGCTCAAAGGGAGAGACTTGAAACAGGTTAGAAATGCGGTTTGGGGGAGAATGGGTTATATGGATTGATGGTTTTGAAATAATATATATATGTATATGTATATATATATATATATTAATTTTATTTGTGGATTTTCTAATGTTGTTGTGATTTTTCTGTTAGGGGAATTGTATATATGGGAATGAATATGTTGAAATTTAGAATAATATTTGTTTTGTTTGATTACTAAGAAAATGTGGGAAGGTTAAGGATTCGTTGATTAGAGAAAGGTGATTATACGAAAATGAATATGATTGGTGTTTTTTAAGTTATCTAATATTTAGGCATTGAGAATTTTCATGGAAATGGGATGGATGATGTGCAAGAACTTGTATTTTGATTACTTTGACTTGAAACTAAACTCCGAGCAGAAGTTTATGATCTCTACGATTGTGTTTCCTACATGAACATGCTGCTTCCGACCTGGAGAATTCTTTCTGGGGACTGGGATTAATGGAACTGCATTTTGCTCATGTCATGGCTTCGGTTGTCAGTCATGGATGTAAAACTTCAGTAATCATCATAATTTTTTTTTATCATTTTATTGTTTCAATAACAATTTGCCTATCACAAATGTAGATTGTTAGAAGAGAAGTCTTTTAAATTTCTATCTACTACCCAACTAAGCAATTCCTTCAAAAAGAGGGGATTGCGACAGAAAAATCTGTGGGGATTTGTAGATTTCACATCTTACTTGAACTGGGAAAAGGTGAATTATTAGTATTAGAAAACAATTTGTGGGATTTTCATTTTATCTGATCTTTAGTGACGACTTTCTGGTCCAAAGCTAATAATGGAAATGGAGAGTAAAGAAATCCCATACTACAAATAATTTCAGGTTTTTCTATTGAATGGTATGTAGTTTTACATTGACCAACAAGAAGAAACGAAGAAAACAGTGATCAAATCTCACATTTATAAACTGATTGAATTTGTTTTGCTGTGTTAGAAGGATACCTAATTGATGTGGTACATAAAAATTTGAAAATTGGTTTGAAATTCTTGTGTAGAGTATTTTGTGAGTAAATCAAAATCAAATGAGAGACACAGAAAGCCAAATAGTGTTTCAATTTGGATTGATGCTGATCATGAACTATTTTTGGATTTGTTTCGTTTATTCATTGAATTGGATACAGGGGAACTAAAATTTATGCGAAAAAACATCACTTCTGTTTTTAAAGATCAGAATTTATATTCATGGGAGTAGAATTTATATATTGAGAACAATTTAAAATAAAATTGTAAGAATTAAATGAGATACTTTGTTGTTAATAATATCATGAAGCCGTAAAAATGCATAACAAAGAAAAACTTTTTTTTTTTCCTGGTAAACTTAGGAATGGGTTCCAAAAATAGTTTCCATTACCTAGGATTCTTTAATCAGTTGCCCCAAAAAAGGCCAAACGACTTGCGCATACCCAAAGTTTATCGTAACGATAAAGTGGTACCTAAAAGGTTTAGAAACGATAAACATGTACCTTTTGTCATGTGCTGTTAGTGATTTCTGTTTGTTAATAGTGAAAAGACTAAAATGCCTTTGAAAGTTTGATATTTTAGTTTTTTATAAATTTAAAAATTTCTAAAAAGCCCCATAGGTTTGCTAATTTAACTAAACACCTCTATATATAAAAAGTTTATTAAATGACAAAAAAACCCCCACCACTTGCAGTGCCAGATTCTGGCCACCACCGTCAGAATCTGGCCGAAAATTGCATTACGACATAGACCTGTCGGATCTGTGTCGTAACGAGTCGATCTGGCCTTTTCCGGCTAGATCTGTGGCTGATTTGGCCGGAAAAGGTCAGATCTACGGCCAGATCTGGCCGTCGACGTCGCCGATGGAGTTTTGCGGCCACAACGGCCAGATCTAGCTGTAGCTCTGACCTTTTCCGGCCAGATCAGCCACGGATCTAGCCAGAAAAGGCCAGATCGACACGTTACGACACAGATCCGATGGGTCTGTGTCGTAATGCAATTTCCCGGCCAGTTTCCGGCGGTGGTGGCCGGAATCTGGCACCGCGGGTGGTGGAGATGTTTTTGTCATTTAACAAACTTTTTATATGTGGGGGTGTTTAGTTAAATTAGCAAACCTAGGGGGTTTTTATAAATTTTTAAATTTATAAAAAACTAAAATATCAAACTTTTAAGGGCATTTTAGTCTTTTCACTATTAACAAACAGAAATCACTAACAGTAGATGACGGAAGGTGCCTGTTTATCGTTTCCAAACCTTTTAGGTATCAATTTATCGTTATAGCAAACCTTGGGTATACGCAAGTCGTTCATCCCCCAAAAAAAGAGAAAAGTAAGCTCAGATCAATAGTATATAGGGGTAACAACTAACACGTAGATAATAGCTTTCAAAACCTGTCTTATCAATTTACGAGGAAGTAACTATTAAGTAATGTCTTTACACCATCCTTTATACCATTTTCATTACACTATGATCATTTTACTAATAATAATTCTATTATAATATTAAAAATTTATGTAGATGTGACGTATATCACATTATAATATAATGAAAATGGTGTAAAATGTGATATAAAGGTAGCATTTCTCCATTGATAATTGAGATTTAAAACAACGGTTGATTGTGTGTTCAAGAATTTTACTATTTTAGAGTAGTTAAAACCGGGCCAAAACGGCACAGGGCGGAGCAGGTTTGCTTTTACCAAGCAGAGATTTCCTGTCACCCGTGACCTGCCCAAAAATATCCGAGGTTGGGGCGGAAGTTGGAGAATTTTATTTGCTATCTAGGGTGCTGAATGCCAACCCTAGAGCCTTAAGAAATGGTCGATATTCCATGCTAGCAATTAAACTTCACATTACCCAGAAAAAAAGTAAAATGTTACTGGAACATTGCATTGATTCTATTATACAGTAGCGCATCTATACCAAATGATTCAGTCAACATTACCGGCAGAGGAGGTTTGCTAAAATACCAGGCACTCCAGTTCTTTGCGCAACATTATTTTTCTTAAAAAAAAAAAAAAAAAAAAAAAGAAAGAAACAGTGCCCGCTGAGCCAGACCAGCAACATTGCCAGCGAATAGTGGTTCTCCCTGCAGTGCAGTTAACAAAATCTTGGAGTCTACCAATAAAGAAACAGAGAAAACTTCATATGGCTACAGCATAGGAAAAATGAATTATGATTCTTCTTGGCTCGGTGTCCTAGCTTTATCATTAAGAATTAAGAATCAAGAAAGACTTTTAAGGCACTTCATCAGAGCATTAGTGTGTTCAGGCTTCCCAACAGACACACGCACATAACCCTTCAATTCCTTTTTGTCATAATGACGGATCATGACGCCCATTTTCGCAAGATCCTCCTGCGTTACAAGATTTGAAATATTAGCCGAGTTAAGATAGCAAAACATGTTCAGTATCATTCGCAGTTGTAATAAAAAGATTATAATGTAAAACATTTAGCTGTAGCTGGTTGTGACCAAGAAACCACCGGTTTCGCTTGGTGGGCCGGGAATGCCCAACCTACCAATTTATCCGGTAAACTGCTGAGGGCTCATGTAGCCCATGCTGGATTAATCGCATTCTGGGCCGGAGCAATGAACCTATTTGAAGTGGCTCATTTCGTACCATAAAAACCCATGTATGAACAAAGATTAATTTTACTTCCCCACCTAGCTACTCTAGGCTGGGGAGTAGGTCATGGGGGGAAGTTATAGACACTTTTCCATACTTTGTATTCAGAATACTTCACTTAATTTCCTCTGCAGTATTGTGCTTTGTCGGTATTTATCATGCACTTCTGGTACTTGAGACTCTTGAAGAATCTTTTCCATTCTTCGGTTATGTATGGAAAGATAGAAATAAAATTACCACAATTTTAAACCAATTGGTAGCATGGCGAAAAGTGAAATTTTTGAATTACTAGAAACAAGATACCTAGTATTTGAACCGCATGGGAGGCAAATATACTTGGGCTTACGAGTAATGTGTAGTTTATAGATGATTCCACATATCTAGGGTTCATGCAATAGTCTTGTACCTCTAAAGAGGTATGTTGTATGGCCGTCTCTCGGATATGCAACAATAAATAAATAAACAAAGATTTTCGTTCACTTAAATTCAACCTGACTAAGTAACCAGAAATCACCAGTTTTACAAGCCTGAAAACTGAGACCAGACCATTTCTAGATATTTATGATGGTTAATTAAATTATCAAAGAAACTATTCTACAACATACAACACCATTCAAGATTCTACATCATTCATATTTGGAAGGAACTGAAAGTCCCAACCTCAATGAGAAGGAGAGGAAACCACCATATTGGCAATTAGAGAACCCTTGACTTGCAGGCAACTTAAATTTTTTTTGGGAAAGACTTAAAAAATGCAACTTCCCCCATCCATTTGTCTTAGTCTACCAAAACTGTTTCACCATTTCCAATTTCCAACTTCACAAATTGAATAATTTAGTGCCAAAGGATGGCACCTACCACAACCCCTGTGCTTACGTTGGAGTCCCAAACATCCTTTTGAAGTCCATATTTATTTCTAATGACAACATGCAAAGGAGAATTGCTTCTGAAAGAAATCTCAAAAAGCCACTTTTATGGCAGAGCTATATTCCTCCTCTTCCCCTTTAGAAATGGCTTGGGAAACTATTCTGCAACCAAGTGCTCTCTTTTCCTTTCTCTTCTTCCCAGCAGAAACCTGTCATTATTTTCTCTAGTTTTTGCCGCATCCTTAGGAATATAAGAAGGTAAAAGTAAGACTTAGAAGCTGCTGACAATAGAAGAGCGAGTCTACCTCCCCCAGAAGACAGATTTTTCTCCACCTCCCAAACTCTGATGAACTTTCTCAATAACCAGATTCTAAAAAGCCATAACCTCAGGGTTGCTTTGCAAAGACATTCAAATATACTTCATAGGCCAACCGCCTATCTCACAGCAAACTTGGGTATGAGCTACACAATCTTCTTTCTTGAATGTACCAATGATTAAGCTACTTAAAAAGCAAGTCAACAACCTCAATAATATTAAGAAACTCAGCTTTATCCCCAAATGAAGAAGATTGTATCACTGGAAATTTATGANGGGGGGGGGGGGGGGGGGGGGGGGGGGGGGGGGGGGGTAACCTAAAAGTGCAAGAGCCAGTGCGCACCGAGAACATTTTTGCAGGTATGGTTCAAGTATCGAGAACACTGTTACACATTTATGATATTTTTTAAAGTCTACAATGATAATGGAAAACATCAAATCTATCAGTCATCGTACCTTTGCCTCAAGGCTATTGTCAACAAGAATATTAGCAGACTTTATATCACGGTGTATAATCTTGGGGTGACCTGAAGATAAATTGGTGTCAAAAAGAGTGAATCTTCAAGAACAACACCTTGAATATCACAATTTGTTTAAAATTTAAGATGAGAAAGTAGTATTGAACGAATACTCACAGTCTTCATGCAATCCTCTGGCTGACCCTAGAGCAGTTTTCATTCTAGTTGGCCAGTCCATATTTGGTCTACCATCTCCTGCAAATGTTATTTAACTATGATGAGACCAGAGTATAACAGTTGATAAATTTCATTCTATTTTGCTAGAACTAGTTATGCTTGTTTCTGAAGAACTTCGTATAAGGAAAACTAAGTTAATAAATTCAATTATATGCAACGGGTATAGCTATAATATTGCACGAGGAGAATTTTGAAGGGATGAAAAATTGAAAGATTAAGAAACTTAGGGATTTGTAAAAATCTTTCTTGCTCATCAAAGCAACAGAAAATAATCACAGAAAGCACTAACCATGTAAATGAAAGTACAAGGTTTTATTTGGAACAAACTCAAAGACAAGCAATCTATGGGCCCCAGAAATGCAGTATCCATCCAGAGATACGAGATTTCTGTGATGGATACGATTAATGATCTCAACCTCTGCCCGAAACTCACGCTCCCCCTGTCCACTGCCAGCTTTGAGCTGTTTGATTGCGACCATTTTCCCATTAGGAAGGACACCCTTATGGACACATCCAAAACCTCCCTGACCGAGGAAGTTTGCACTAGAGAAATTGTCTGTTGCCATCTTTAGCTCTTCATAAGTAAATGTTCTCCGCAAACTTCCAGGACTAACGCCTAGGGAAGGCAGTGGGAAAGGTTTATCAGCAACCAAACTGCCACTAATCGAATCACCAGCACTAAACAGCGCATTATCAACAATACCAAGGCTCTCTTCTCCCGGTTCTTCAATTGTATACAATTGGTCCTCGAAAGTTAGCTGCTATTCTGTAGAGCGCTCGGCAGCTAACATTTTGATGGAGCGGTAAGGGAAGTCACGGTCGGAAAGGACGGAGAGGAACTCTTGGCCGACGGCGCCGTAGACACCGACGACGGCCAAGGAGGGGCCGGAGTCAAGGAGGGTCGTGGGAACTTTGTGGAAGAAGCCTTTGGTTATACACACGGAGATGGGGGGGTGGGTATGAGTTGGGTGAGGATTGAAAATGGCGGTGGCCGCCATCGAAGAAGATGTTTCAGAGAAAAATGGTTTGGTTATACACTTGGAGATGGGGGGGCGCTTGAAACGGAGGTAATAAGACATATGGAATGAGAGAAAAGAGGTCAAACTCAAAACTCAAAAGTATTTGTTATAATTTAAAATAATATTAAAATTTATATGTAAATAAAATTAATTAATATTACACAATTCATACATGTAATTTTAAAAGTGATAAGCATTATTTTTTTCACAAATTAATACATAAACAATATATATAAAACATTTAATTTGTCTGAAGATATTATCTCTATTATATATATATATATATATATATATATTATATATATATATATATACTCAATGTCAATGGAACTAATCCAGTTTTAAACACTCTATTCATATACAAATAATAATAATAATAGAGATATTTTTACTAACCTTAAATAGATATTTAAATATATACTTTCGTCCTTCCCAAAAAATATTCTGATTTTAGAAATTATATCCCGCTCAATTTACTTGTAAGATTTTTGTTGGGATTGAATAAGTTGAACAAAAATAGAAAAAATAACGTGAGTGAAACAAAAATCTATTTAAGGTTCAAATGAAAATATCTCTATTAGTAACTAGTAAGGACATTATAAATTAAACTTATTATAACATTTTTTAAGGAGAGGAAAGAATTGTTTTTAATTTAAAACTTTTGGAAAAAACAAAAAAGAGAATATGGAATGGAGAAAAGAGGTCAAAAGTATTTGTTATTAAGATTAAGAGATATTATTTTATAAAATTAATTTAATTTTAAATAATATTAGAAATTTAGATGTAATTAAAATTAAATAATGTTCCACTAATCATACATGTAAATTTAAAATGATATATTAGATAGATAAATCACTGCATATCCTGGATAAATTTATATATATATATATATATCTATATATATATATATATATATATATATATATATATATATATATATTATTATATTGTTTATGTTTATTTGTGAAAAAAATATGCTAACTTATAAATTTATCTAAATTTATATCACTGCATATCCTGATAAATTTATAAGTCAGCATATTTTTTTCACAAATTAATACATAAACAATATATATATGTTTTTTTTTTTTTTTTTTTTAATTTATTGTATTACAATATTTAATTTGTCTGAAGATAATCATCTGTTACATTCGACAACTTTCATATAGCTACACAGTGGAACCAATCCAGTTTTAAACACTTTATATACAAATAAACTACAAATGATACTATAAAACTATAAATGCCTTCTCCTCGTTCTCAATGCTCAACTATCTGCTCATAGGACAGCATAGGGTTCAGTCTTCCAATTCAATTCCAAAATCAGTTTTGGTTTTAATGAAATTCAATTTGTCAAAAAACTTGATTATGAAAACTCCGAATTCATGTTTAGAAAAAGACTGAGGAAGCTTGAGAAACTTATTTAATTAGAGGTAAAGCATTTGGAAGTACCTGGTTCATTCGTGACGACCCAGCTGAAGTACGACAGAAGCAAGAGCACAAGCAACCATTGAGCCATTTCAGTAGAGTCATACTCCTCAAGTATGGTCAACAAGAGGCCCAAAGTTGCCCTCTCCAAAGCTAGAGCAAAGGCCTTGCCTAAAATTCAAATAGTTTGTAATTTTTCCTGAATAACTTTTACAACTAAGAGAAGAAAGACCCCAGCCTTTATCGTGTTCCATGGAATATGCAGAAAAGGTTTCACTTCATTATTGTACAATTTTTCCCCAGTACATATAGAAATACAGCATCTACATAATTATCAAGGCATCCGAATTGCATAAGAAGACATCAAAGGTTTTATCTAGTTTGAAAATTTGCATGTGCTTATCAGAGCACATGCAGTTGGAAACTATCTTTTTCTGCAAAAAATTCATACTTATTCTATTGATGAGTATCGGAAATGCAGTGTATTTAGTGGTTTTGTGGATGGATTGTAGGGATACAACGTTGTATTTGTAATTTTATTGCGAATTTTCGTATAATTCTATTTTCCAAATCACGTATGTGTGTTGGTTTTCGGGATTTCAAGCGCATAAATGGTGATTTTGTGTGGCAAGGATGATCCGAGGTATGAGACATCGAGTGTAAGAAACAAAAGAGAAGAGCAAAGTCAATTTTCAAGACCACGCTGCAGAGTTTTTCTGGCTGCCCGTGGAAAGAAGGACTTGCATCGAGATTGGACAAAAACTTCATGTCGCAACATGAATTTGCCAGTGACGCACTAGGGTTTTGTTGACACATATTTTGACGAATAGTGTTAAGGCACGGTGCCATAAGCCACACCGCACGTAGTTCATGCAGAAAGGAAAAATATACCTTTTCCAACTCTGACTTAGTCTTGTTTTATTCCTAAAACTCCTTATGGTCTAAAAACTAAAATAGGCTTTTGTATTTTTATTAAGGGGACTTTTTACTGAAATTAAGAGGAGAGTTTATTCAAGGAAAGGAGATCTACTTGTGGTTTGTCTTCATCTCTTGTGTTCTTATGTGTGGGAAGATTTGAGGTTTGCTTTCCTAATGATAATGTGTAACTAAACTTTGTACTAGAGATCCAATATAGCCTAATTTGAAGGCTTTTGTTTAATCAAATCTATTTGTTGATCAATTCAATTTTGTTCTAGATTCATTATTTACTTAATTCAATTATAATTACTTATTGTGTGATGACCCTTAATGTGGATTAATAGTTTATGAGTTAAGATTAGGCAGACACTATATGCTAGTCTTAAATAGCTCTTGTGAATAAACGATTTGTATTTGTGCATACACCTTGAAGATGTGAATTGATTATGATTTATAGTGCTCTTGATCTTAACCATAGTTAGTAAAAACGCGTATTATATGCGAATTATACGGACAGCCGTATAATCGCGTATAATACTCGCGTATCCAATTTTGTAAAATCTTCCGTATAATTCGCGTATAGTAAGGTGTACCGTATAATTCGCGAATTATTCGCAAATAATTCGCAAATTATTAAAAAAAAATATATAACCTCACACCCCCAAAACGACGTCGTTTTGTGGTTTTATAACAAAAATTAAAACAGAAACAGATCTGGTTCACACTTCACTGGTTCAGTTTCAGTCGTTCTTCTTCAAATCTTCGGCAGTTCAGCAGCAGTTTCTCTTCCTCAGTTCAGTTCTTCTTCAGCTTTTCTTCCTTGTTCTTCATGTTTTCAGCTTTCTTCATCTCTTATTCTCTCTTCCAGGCTTCAACTTCAAGTTCGGGACTTCAAAGGTACACACTTTACACTTGTATCGTTTGGTTCAGCTGTGAGTTCTTCATGGGAGGAAGAGATATGAAGTGTGTTTTCGTTTTGGAGAATGAGAGTTTCAAGAGTGTGCGAATTGTGAGTGTTTGTTTAGAGAGAAAAAAACTTTTTAATATATCGGAAGAGAAACAGTGTGGGGAGAGTGAAAGAGAAAGAGAAACTAATCTTTAACTAAATTAGGAAAAGGAGAAGAAGTAAAAAAATGAAATAATGAATATTGATTATTACTAATAGATACGGTGTCGTATCATTTTTCATCAGAGTATCAGGTTGTAAATAGTCAACTTTCAATACAGAAAAATAGGAATTTTTTTTCCTTTTAATTAAACCCTCACTTCATGCATGTTTTGGTAGAATTCAAAAACTTGATAAATGAAAATAAATTATATTGACCCTTCATGACTTAATTTAAAAACTTTGGTTAATTTATATTTTATAGGAATTTTTAATTAAAAATTCTTTATTGTGTATTTGTTATTGGTTAATTAAATCTTTGCATTTATCAGGTATTTGATGATGTTCTCTACTTTCTCTTTATGTTCTTGTAAATACAGTCAAATTGAATACTTTTTTATTTGAAATGTTATGTTGATTTTACCAGGTAGTCCATAAAGTGTTAAAACTAGATTGATATTGCCGTATTTTTCAAACGTATTATTACAATGCACCGTATTAAACCCGTATATACCCGTACCGTATTTTTCCCGTATCCGAATTTTATGGCCGAATTTTTATAAACGTATTTTTCACCATTTACCGTATTATACCCGTATATCCCGTACCGTTTTTTTTGCCGTACCCGTATTAACTAACTAGGGATCTTAATGAGTTTTTAACCATTAACTAGAATACACACCCTAGCTATTTAGTGTTAAAAATACTAAGTTAATCTTGAACATCTTACGATAATACTTAGTTACGACAGTACGAACCCTAGAAAGTGGGTTGAGATAACAACAGTTTGATTATTAATGTAAAGCTAGTAATTACAATGATATTAATACTTAGGTTTTAGTAATTGGATTCAAGTCAGTTGTCATTTAATCGTTATTTAATTGTTAGCTTTAGTTAATTTTACTTTAATTTTTCACTTGTTACTCTTCGTATTTATCTAATTTATCTTATTTTTAATTAAGCATAGTTATTAAAATTATTGATAACTTACAAATCTCTAAGGGACGACACTCGTATTTGGTAGACTAGACTACCAATCGATTCGTGCACTTGCGAGTTTAATTTTGATTCAACATCTACCTTAACAGGCCATTATCTAAATTTATCCACTGATCACTGGACTATGCAAGTAATGAATCGGCAAAATCCCTGATAATGAACAGTGATAAAACACTGCCTCAACTATCAATTATTTTCTTAAGTTTTACAAGTCACTTGTCCCCTTCATGCTTCTCTCGACTCTCTACGACCACAAAATTCCTAAGGACCTACAACAACATAGATTTAGTCCTGTTAAACATGTTGGAGCTCGTTTAAGAGAATACTTACCCAGTCAGCTATGCCACAAAAAGTCGTTTCCCGGTATAAACTCC